AGTTTAATACAGGTTAATAAGACCATGTTAAAACCTGTATTCTTGATACGATGATATATTTAGCAACACTCAGCACAGTTCTAATTTTCATTGAATTTTGGTAAACAGCGAAACAACTATGTCTATTGCGTAGATAAATACTGTATTCAAATATATCATGTTATAAAGCAAAATGGTGGAATCCAATTTTAAATCTTTGAAGAATTAGGAACTGGTAAAAAAAACTTCAATTACAACTAAATAGAGATTTTGAAGTTACTGTACATTCTGAAAACAACTACATTTCTAATTGAAAAGCTGAAAAATGATGGCAATTGCAAAAAAAAGTGACAAGTATGATTGATAATTGAATGTGATAAATACAATAATGACAATGATTAATGTTCAAATTACATGTAACATTAAACTAGTGAAATCATGAACATCAGCATTAAATAAGACTAGTTTTGTCAACTTGGCATCTCTTTTGGAGATTCCAGAACTAATGGTATTTTTTCGTACTTATAATTTATTATTCACTACATTTTCTGAATGACAGATCTAAAATAAAACCGAACAGATTAAAACACAGCAGAAAATTTGGAATGGAGAGGGGAAATAAAACCTGTAGTCTCTATGGTATTTGCCAGCTTCTGTATAAGGACTGACATAGGTGATTACAATATATTTTTACGGGTACTTCTCATAAAAAAACAACAATGTGAGACAGATTATTATTTTCTATGTGAATCAGGAAAGTTCACAAAAGTAACACATAAGAAGAGCTGTTCTGTTCTGTAGGTGTGGAAACTGTTTAAGTCCTGGTTCTTAGTAGATCATTAAGAATCATCAAATATAAATATTAAATCCAAACAACAGAAAAAAACAACAACAAAAATTGACACCATAGTTACCATTGAGAAGAATAAATCTGTATTTGAATCAGAATAGTTGTTATGTCAATGATTGAACTAGGGTATGAGAAAACTAAAATATTTTATTTCATTTCGGCAAATTTAAAGACACTGCAATCAACAGTTTGAATGAGAATTGGTTTTGTATTCCCAAAACTAAACAGAACACTAAGATGATAGCTGGCCTGTTGTTCCCTAGAGATAAATATTATAAATGAAAGATGAAGGTATAAAACTCATAGCTCATCATATTTCTCCACAATATTTACTGGACTGAAAAATTACTGACAGCAAAATACACAAGATTAATGATGCAAAAAAAATGATTATAGGATATGGAAAATCCACATGAAATCAACTAGGCAACTATTCCAGTCTAGAAAATAATTCCACACCAATGACAGTAATGTGGCTGAAAGTTGTTAGTTGTTGGCCTATTTACATGTCATATCTTACAAGAGTTACAAAAAAGTTTAGTTTTAGTTTTTATAACAAACTGATCCAGCATCATTTAAAATTCTGATGATATATTTAGCAACACTCAGCACAGTTCTAATTTTCATTGATCCAGCATCATTTAAAATTCTGGATTGAAATTCTTTAAAAACATTTAGGAAATTTTCAACTAGCTTATGGGAACCACAAGAGCAATTCATGGTAGTTAATAGTATAGACCAAGTAACCCCTAAAACATAATATTTTTAGAAAAGCCCTTGAAAATTTTATTAAAATTAAGACTTTCTTTAATAAAATAGAGAATTTGTTAACATTGTATATGTGAAAAGCCTTGATCTAAAAGTTAAATCATCTTTAAAATTGGATTTCAGTAGGTTTCTAAAACATTTGAATGAAAAGGAAACTGAATTGAAAAAAAAGCTTGCAACATGAGAAAAATCAATATACCATGTCTAGATCTGGTATTTTCAATCAAATTATTCTTGTTCTTAAAAGTTTTGTCAACACCTTCAATTCTTCTTTATATTTATTTCATAAGATGTAAAATGAGTTGAACTTGAAGGACTAGAGTCTAGAAACTTGGTAAATGTATCAGTTTATTTGGTTTGTGATTTGGAGCTCTATATATATATGAAACTTTTGCCTTCTATGTTTACTAGTAATTCCAACTATTTTGGGATCTTAAACGTGGACTTATGCGCAGACCTTTTTCAAAAGTTTTCTTGATTGTGTGGAATCTCTCCAAGCCCTTCTCAGTGAGCATCTCATGCCGTCGACAGAAATGCTGCATCAGGTGTATGGATTTCAAAATATTCTTGGTTAAGCCCTCTCAAACTGCCTCAAGAGACAAGCGTTGTAGAAGAATTCAAATTTTGTTTTCTAAAAATTTTTGGTAGGAGTGTTCCTCTCAATCCTCCTGTAAAAGAACTTATGAATTTTTTTCTCAGCCCCCCCTTCCAAAGTTATCATATTTTACTTCTTATGGCCCTGATATGATAGCAGATAGTTGTACTTGAATATTGTATGTAGGAAACTGTGAAAGTTACCTGTTCACTATGGTACTTAGTTGTAAGTTCACATTTCTTTAGACAGACATTAGGATTTTCATATAGGTCAAAAAAAATTTTGCTCAAATTTATAAAAACTTTACATCAAAATCTAGAGAAACATCAAAACTATTTAAAAGTTTACGTCTAATTTTAAATACATATATCTTCTACTTGTTGTGAAGGTTTGAACTAATTATAAAATAAAGAGCCATTATAAAGCCAAACACCAAAACTATGTCAAACTGCTTTAATTAACAATTAGTACTCTCATTTTTTAATTCAGTCTGATCAAGTAAATACATAGATGTAAATGGTATATTACTTTTAGGTATAATTTATAACGTTTTTGATGATGAAAATTTTGCATACTTCTCCTTTATAGAGAATGTACTTCAGTTCTTGTTGTACAGCATCTGTACATCTTGATATTTTGTTTTGTGTTTTTCTTGCTGGTGCCAACTGTCATCAATTATCTTACAAAATTACTATTCTACTAATGCTTGTTAAATGATATTAAAATCATGTTTAAAAGTGCTTGGACAGGTTAATATATATTATGATTACTTTGGAAGTTATTGGGTAAAACTTTCATACAATAGTTAATGTATGGCAAGTTAGGTAACCTGCAGAAAACACACCTGACAAAAAAATTCAGATCTGCTTTTTAATCAAATTGTTCATTTAGCATTTACTTATATAGCACATGCATTGACCCTACAATAGTAGGACAGAAAGTTATACATCCTTGCAGGAAGAACATTATATAAAATCTCCAGAATCTACAATTTTCTACCAATTTTTATGCAACATATGTAATTGGGAATTTTTGACAATTAGAAGCAAATTTATTAGCCTTTCCCTACACAATGTAATCTGTTAAAATTAAATGGGGGTTATTATATAGCAGTTTTGATGTGTGGCCTTGACTGCCTAACTTGAAACTTTCAGATATGGTAAGGAACGGTATCTCTTTATGTTAGTCAATAGTTTTCATTTAAGGGACAAATGCGGCAATTCTGGGAATTGATTTGGACCTCAAAAAGAGGATTAAAGGAATATTTTATTTCTTTTGATGCAGCTTCTAATTCATTACATAAAACACTGTGCTGTCATAGGTTTACTGTAATACAAGTATATTAACCAGGTATCCTACAGAACTCCATATTCATTTTACCACAATATATGACAAAATCATACATTGTTGATAAAATATATCCGATAATAGCCTGTAAAATATTTAAGAGCTGCCAATAATTTAAAGGGAGTGGCTAATAAAATTGTCTTTTTTATGGGTACAGGTGACACTCATTTGGTATGACCGTTGAGTTTACCGTTAAGGTAGACAACATAAAACATGTGTTCAGCTAATTACCAAACAAAGTTTTTAAAGAAAATTATAACTGAGACAAATATGAAATATTCCGAGAAAACGATGAAATACCTTAAATGATAGATATTTATTCCATTTGCTGCACAAATTTCAAGCAAAACTTGTAAGCTACACACATTTTCAAGGTAAATCCGTTAGTTTTCATGTTGACAGCCAGTCGCGCAGGTGGCAATCAGCGAATCACGTGACATTATTTTATCACGTGATCAAACCAAAACATGGCTGTCTGCTGGTAAATATTTCACATTATTTCAAATCAATTGTGCATACCAATCCTTAATAACTAGAAAGTAAAATTAATGTGCATGCGTTGGTGTCTATTTAATCATAATGAACATATTTTTCAGAAAATTTGAATCCAAGAAGATTGAATTCAAGTGTGAAGTGATACCGTTAGCCAATGTGATTCTGAAAAAATTCACTAATCTGAAGAAAACATCAGGAATTGACCAAGTATTTGAATTTCCGTGATTGTTTATCATTGTTTTTCGGTTTTTATAGACTAACTTTGATTAAAATGTCGAACAGTGATAATTCTGGAGATTTATATAATGTTCCTCTGTCAACAGACAGTGAGTCAGGTTTGTGCATAAATTATTCAAATGATCTCATCATGCTATTTCAACTGCATCAGAGTTGGCCTATCTATAGGTTGTACTAAAAGGATTCATTTACACAGACTTGCACCAGGCTGATCATTTTATAAAAATAACTTAGTGATATTCAAAATTCACGACAAAAAAGTGTGTTGGTTTTTCATCCAAGTTGTTTTGGGTGCTGTGCAGTTACAGTCTTTCTCCATAGAATGTATTTGGATTTTTTTAAAATTTTGTAGATCACACCAGAAATAACCAACAGAAATCTGTAGCTGAAGAAAATAGTAAGAATGATTCCTTTATTGGAAACACTAACAGTGAGTATTCAACGACAGACGTTTAAAACAGATAGAACCTTTTTCTTTTGTCCTCAGATTTACCACCAAATCATGATGATAACTCTCTAATATTCTTAAAACATTTCTCTGATCCATTTTTTTATCTCTTGTATGGTAGGAAAAATAACAACTTAGGTTCTAGAGGTTCATGTTAGCTTTCTTATTTAAAACTGGGTTGAATAGTATACTGATTAAAACCCACTATCACAGTTTGTATGATATAACTAATATACTATAGGCCTATTGATCTTATTGTAATTGTTCTAGGTTTAGATCCTGATATTAATCCTGATGAAGAAGAAGAAAAGCAGAAATTGATAACACAAGTATTAGAACTACAAAATACATTAGATGGTTAGTATTTTTAATTATTGTTTGTTATTCGTCAATGACTAAGATCAGTTAATAACACTGTAATGTTCAACTTTCAACTAGATTTTAATTTAAGGGACAGGTTTTCCATTTTATTTGCCAATCGTACCTTAGTCTCAGAAGCCGGAAGTTTTTTAGCTAAGCTAATCAGTAACAGTGTTCAGTTCTCCATCAGAATTTGAGCCTATAAATGGAGGTGTATCCAAAATTTACTTTAAGAATCACAAAGTTATTTTCAGTTCAGAAAGTTTATGATTGCAAGTTATGGCCCTTGTTTCCTAACTAATTACTATAGAACACTCTTTCCTTGCAGCTGTTCTATTTGATAATTAGAAAAGTGCTCTTATGCTTTTTTTAATTTTTTCATATAGCCATATACGCCCTTCACGGCATCAGATGGTAAAAACGAAACATCCATTTTAAGTTTCATCAAAGTCGTTTGAAAACTAAGAGAGTAAAAGCATATTCAAATTCGAACTTGAACTTCGTTTTATGAATACGTATACACATACCGAATTTCATTTGATTCCATCAAAAAATCTAGTTTTTAGAGCGTTAACAAGCAAATGTTGACGGACGGACAGACCTTCGTTTCATGAATATGTATGCACATACCGAATTTCATTTGATTCCTTCAAACACATCAAGCAATTGATGTTGATAGAAGCACTACAGTATAGAGGTAAAAAGGCGATAACTCCTCAAAACTGACGTAAGGCTTAAATTTTGAAAAAGCCTTAAATTTAATCAGAAGTAAACTAAACTTTCTCAAACCTTTCAATTTAGGTCCAATAACATCCATTTTAAGTTTCATCAAAATCGGTTAAAAACTAAGAGTAATAGCATATTCAAGATTTTGGGGCAAGGACAATAACTCTGCTTCTAATGGTTGAAAATAGCTCAAATTCGAATTTGATCTTCGTTTTATGAATATGTATACACATACCCAATTTCATTTGATTCCATCAAAAGTTTAGGTTTTTAGAGCGTTTACAAGCAAATGTTGACCGACAGGGGTGCCAACAATATACGTCCACATACAGAGACGTGGGCGTATAAAAAACCTTAATTGATTTATTATTGATATAGATTTGTCATCAAGAGTGGACTCTGTCAAGGAAGAAAATCTCAAATTGAAGTCTGAAAACCAAGTATTAGGGCAGTATATTGAAAATTTAATGGCTGCCAGTAGTGTGTTTCAATCTACATCACCAAAATCAAAAAAGAAATAGAATGTATTCCATGTGACCAGGAATCTCTTACGTGCAATCAAAAGGTAACTAAAATAGTTTCCTACAATTGTTTATGCTGAATCTTAAACCACAATACTGTTTACAAAATATAAAAAATGAATATAATTACTGCTTGGTGCTTAGAGTGAGTGGTTAATTTCATGTTGAAAGAGTTAAAAAACAAAAAGTAGTATTTTTTTATATTGCAGATACTTATGGAAAGAAGTACATGGAATAGATATTATGGAAGTTATTATTGACTTACAATATTTATGTTTTTTTCTTTTACTTGTATTGCTTTAAATAGGCTTACATATGTACATTTTTTCTGTAAATAATTCTGTGCTATTCCAATCTCATAAGATGAGTTCTACATTTACATAGACATAGTTAGGATCTGAACTTGTCTTGAAGTGTAACACAAGAGGAACTATACAATTATAGGCTGAAATAGGTCACTTGTCTGAAAATCAAACAGAATGAAACTCTTGAGTAACAACCTGTTTCAGGTTCTGTTTTAATTTTTCTATATCACTCTTCAATTGATGTATTGAGCACTATTGTAACAGTGAAAATATTTGATTTTTGTGACATAGTTGTTATCAGTAGTCAATAGGCCGGTCAACTAACCTCAGAGAATGTCAGAATTGGTCAAAGATATTTCAGCACATTCTTGACCGATTCAGAACATAAACAGTCCACCTTAATTTTAAATGTAACTATCCAAATATGTCTGGTTTGTATAGTTTCAATTACAGAATTTTACCTTTTCCACACTATTTTCTTTAGGATATAATTGAGGTTTGTTATTATTTATTGTAACATGTCATCTGGTTGATGAGATTATTGAAAGACAACTTTAAATCAGTATTTGTCTCAATAGTTTTCGCTTAGCTAATTTCATTTCATTGAAAGAGCAAAACCTATATCTTCCACATTGAGTCAGATTTATGTGGTAAGATATCTTGTTGATTTTATATGTCATCATTATTGTCAATTACTGCTCTAGTCTTCATCTTCTTTAATAAACTACTTGTTTAACAATTAGTAGTTTCCTTATATGTTTCCCGAGCCCAGAGGTTCACATACATATGAAATTAAGTAAACATATTCAAAAATCATAGCAATTTGTTTAATTTTATTTCTTCCAAACCCATCATTTTTTTTCTCGGAAGTAGTTTGGATATCTAATATTTATGTGCATAAATGTCTGACATATTCGTGTTTAGATACAATAATGACTCTTTCAACCAAGTTTCATGTATATTTATTTCATATATACAATATACAAATAACAATAATATACAAAATAACAATATCATATTCTCTACAATAAAAGTTAAGTGTTTTAAAATGTTGTAGTTTTAGTTAATCATTTTAACAATTTTCATTGCATTTTTGCCCTTATTAGACTTGAAATTATTTTAACATATTACCCTTATAAGACAAACTATTTCTACATGTTCTTTCTTACCATTGCAAAACACAAAAATAAAGCAAGTGTGATAAACTCAATTTTAGTCATTGTAAAGAGATTATTCCTTTAAAATTTAATGATCAAAATTTAAAACTCATAGCAAGGATAATTGACCAATTCACCCAGAAATATTAATAATAAGAATAAATTTCTTTTTCAGTTAACTGTAGTAAGGTACAATTAGATATAAATAAATTTAAGCACCAATTTCTAAAAATATAACTTATATCTTGTAATCCCAATAGTCAACTTCTGTCATGCTTTAAAATTGGCAGCTTTTAAGACTGATTTTAATCGACTACTGGATCGTACTGAAGTGATACTATCATGCGAGTTTTCATCATTGTCCACTACATGACTTCGAGTTACCCGTCTAGGTGTGGTGTCTTTAGAGTCTACAGTTGAAGAGTCACTAGATGCTGGAGATTGAGATCTATAAATACGAGAGTTATTAATTGTCTCTTTTAAACTGCGTTTTATTGATAAACAATCAGGACTAATTAACATTGTTGGTATGGCACTATAGTTTTCACTTGGTATTAATTTACTATTCACACTGGTGTTAAATATATTCTTTTTAACACTAGAGTTAAATCCAGATTCAAGTCTACGTTTAAAACTACGAGTTTCTGGTGAATGCATCAAGCAATACAAATCAGTCTCTACATTAGTTCCAGAATTATTTTGGGGGGATTTTTCTGGACTGGTATCAGTCAGTTTGGAATTATTATCATTAATTTTTAAACGTGAACTACTCCGAGATCTTGAATTAGCACTAGAATTACACTTAGAAAAATATACTTCAATTTTTGGTTGATTTTTATCAAGCAAGCCATTGATTTGTTTTAACATTCCTCTTTTTTTCAGAATTTTGTTTTGAACCATATCTTTTATCTCATCACCAATTCGTAAGTTTTGTTTAGTTAACAAGGCCATTAATTCATTTTTTGGAGGTCTCCCTCTTGCTTTTTCTGTTGATTTTCTATGTTTACGAATTTTCTCTTTTTTAATTTTAACTGCTCTAGTTTTTACACTTTCACTTCCTGTATCACTGTTAGTTTCTGAAATGGCTTCACTTTTTATCACTAACTTGAGAGGATCTAAGAAAGTCTTGCTTGATTTTTCTGGACTGGGAGATTTTGGTTCCAAAATAGAAATTTCCTCTTTTAAACAATCAGCAAAATGTCTCGTTTGTTTTTCAACAGGGGATTTTATTTTTATTGGTCTTCTTGTTAAATTTGATTCTTCTAATAAACTATCATTTGATTTTGAATCAAAGTCATATATGTCTAAATTTAGTGGTTTTGTCTTTTTATTGGCAACTTTCACTTTGATAGTTCGACTTGGTTTTGTCTCTGGTAATAAATCAGGCATGGGACTTTTACCCTTTGAATCAGCACTTTCATGTCTTTGTTTAGATGTGATTCTTGAATTTCTCCGCTGGCTAGAGATGTCTTCCATTTCTAAGACAGGGGGTTCATCTGCTTCAATATCCACATCATTATCAGACAGTTCAGTTCTCATTGATACAGATGTTGAGGGTTCAATGTCTAGTTTCTCTAGTCCAGATAATTGTCGAGGTTTAAATCTACGTGGAGAGTTAAAAGTAGGACCACTATGATCACTATGACTGTCCTCATCAGTTGTCATAGAATCTAGATCTATACTAGGTGTTAATGATGGTAACCTAGTAGGTAAATTCAAATTTGTAGCTAAATACACATTATCCTTCTTGTATTTTTTAACAGTCTTCTGAATTTCACGGGTTGATAAATTCAGTTTTGAGTCTGTAAGATAGGCATTGGCTGCCAAGAATACTTTCTCTTGAATTCTGATAACTTGTCGTTTCATTTTCTCTCTTCTGTTTACCATATAACATAGATTTCTCACCTATAAAAAGATGGAAAGAAATTTTTAATTTTCACCCGAAGATGAAAACATAACCCTTTACAAATTTACAATTTTTGAGAATGAAAACAATTGTGCATATTGAATAGTAATTTAAGAAATTCAATCCACATACCCTCTCTAGATCTTGACGTAAATGGACAAACATTTTCATTCTAGCAACTAAACTATCTTCCTGTTGTTTCTCTAATCTATCTGCTTCTTCTGTTTTTGGCATCAATAATGGGCGATTAAAATTTGCCTGGTAAAAAAAATAATCAAATATTTTAACTATTCTTGTGAAAATTATCAACCCACAAAAATCTTTAGTTAGAATATTTACGACATCTTTATATCATTGATTGAGCAAGTGACATAGACATTATACCGATAATGATAAATAAACCCTCTTCAGCATGTAGTTGATAAAACTAGAAACTTTTTACAAAACTCATCAAGCTAAGGTATAGGTTTAAAATGGAATATATATTTTTTTTCATATAACTACAAACACCAAGTTTTATGAAAATCATTTGAAAAATATAGCTACTACATTTTCGGTCAAACACCACAATCTGGTGCACTAACAAGAAAATATGAATGGATAGACCAATGAAAGACTGTACCAGGTGTGTGATAGAGATTTGAATATATAAATAACAAGATAACTTACCATTCGTTTTAGTTTCCAGTAAGCCTTGACAATATCTACAATATCTTCATCAACTTGTAAAGTTTTTGCTGCTTCTTCTGTATTAACAAACCTACTAAATTCTTCTTCAATTTCTTTTGTTCTAGAAATACAATGAACAGATTAAAACATTTATCCTATAATTATATTAAATTTCAGTTAAAAAACAGTAACTACCGTTTATCATATTTTAATACAATTCCAGATCTGACTCAAGTCACACATGGTTTATTGTTAGAGTAATCATAGTTATTGGTCAATATTCTTGAGTAACCTAAAAAGGTGTGGGAAATCAATGGAACTAGAAACTGATAGTAAAAGCCTACTATAGAATCAAGTTTTACCAAGAGGCATCCAAATATTCTGCTTAATTTTTCTAAACATCTATTTTTACTTAGGAATTTCCTTATAATTTCTTACTTGGCAGCTCTTAATTCAGCAACTTCTTCCTTGGACATTTCTTTCCTCGGTGAGTCATCTTTACGTGGTGAGCGTGGTGATCTTGGTGAGCGTGGAGATCTTGGTGATTTTGGTGAAGATGGAGACTCACTCTCTATCTGTCCACCATTTTTAGTATGTTTTGGACAATATGCCTGAAACAGTGAATAAAAGTAAAAATTAAAAAGTCAAAACTCATGTTCTACCTTGAAATATTAAAAGATTTAGACTAAAATTTTAATTTTCATTTCATTCCCTCTCTTTTTGTCTGCACAATATCTTTTTATATTGCAATATTTCTAATATATTGAGTTTTCAAAGTATAAGTACAACTTACTATAAGTATATGTTGCCTACATGTTCTCTTTTAGTGTGTGATATTTATGTTAGATGAGAATACACCTACCCTTAATTTGACACCATCTTTTTCTGCTGGATCTAATATAGTCTTCATATCCATACCATTATTAAAACCACACGTCACATGAAAGGCTGTTTTACATGTTTTAACTGAACATTGTATACACGCTCCATATCTTTCTTTACATAAACAACAAACTAATGTCCATCTACTGGCCTGAAAATAAAGATCAAGGGTATTTGAAATCCAATTGTTTTATATTTAAAAAACAAAACAAAGCACACTTACAACTAATTAAGAAGGGCTTTCTCAAAGAATTATGTCAATAAAAAGTACTTTGACTTACTGGTATAAGTGATATTTTAGTAATTGGCTCCATTTTTTCAACACAGCCTATACTAACTTCAGGTATCCATATAGAACAACTTACATGTGCCCATTTAGTTCCACTCCTACAATCAGACAAATTTAAAATAAGATTTTCTCTATTCTTTCTTGTCAAACTGTTTCCTTTTATAACATAGATCCTTTCAAACCTTTTGATTATTCAAATTTCAAATAGTTCTAGAATGGAATGAATATTTTAATAATACATTTACCTTGTACTTTTCATGGCACCTTTAACATTGGGACATAATAGACATGTAGGTTTAACACCTAGTGCACAGGCTCGACATAAGTAGCTTCCTTCAGGTATTGTCTGTATACCATAACAAGCCTATTGAAATATAAAATACAACTAAAATGTCATGTCCTATTTACATTAATCCAAAACAGAGGAAACTGTTTCTTGAATAGCTTTGTTTTCATGAGCTCTGTGAGGAGCAGGTAAGTGACTACTTGGAACATAAATTCCATTTTTTCCATTTATGTTTTTAAGAAATAAATTACATAGATGTATGTTCCAGGAAAAACCGTATTCTATATTCAGCAATTTGCTGTTGTAGCATACTAGTATAACTGAACATGAAAGTCAAATAGAATCTAAGAGGAAAGTAGGTGGAGCAATCAGTACATTTTGATTATTAAGCTCCACCCTCTATTTTTCAATGCTGTAATAAGTTGCAGCTGTCAATTATTTTTTTTATGTCACAAGTCATATAAACCATATCTCTTACTCATTAACATATTTAAAAAAACTCATTTCATTTGTTTAAAATTTTTCACTCAGTATATATACTTCTTAAAATAATACAATTTCAGATCAATGCAAAACCAATTAACCACAGTGACACAGGGTTCAAATTATATTGAAAAATTTCGGTTTTGTGTAATAAAGTTAAATTTTGACTTGCATTTCGATGAAATTCAGTAGCAAAACGCTCCAGTTGTAGACTATCAGTGACACTAGTTTCTTAAGGTTATAGAATCGCAGAAAGTTGCTATTTCTAACTTTGGTAGAAAATTCTCACGAAAAATATAATTGGATTAGATTTGCAAAGCTTCATGCTATTTCAATTTTGAAAACATTGGATCACCAAAGAGGTCATTTTGTCTCACAAACTGTGATGCAATACTGCTTAAATTGAACCCAGCAGTGACATATAGGACTACTAACACCATACAAACAAAAGTCATTGAGTTAGAAATTATATAGGCACAGTCATAAGTCTACTGATATTATTATATTATCAAAATACAATTTACATATATATATACCTGATGTACACAAATATCACAGTTATCACAAAATACCATTTCATTACCATCTTCACTATCAGGCTGTAATAATCATAAAAACATATTAATATGGATATCAAATAAACATCAGTAGGTTATAAATATAAATTGTGTAATTATCAAACAAATATAATATAATAGTACATAAAGAAACTGACTATGTTTTATCATCTACAAACTTTGACATGTATTTCCTTTCAATTAGTTCTTTTTACTATCAAATCAAATCAATAATCATTAAACCATCAAAAGCAAAGTTCTTCATTGAAATGTGTGCCAGATGAGAAAACCATTAAATGGCCAGTTTAAATTCCATCCACAGGTTTGTTTAATATTCTATAGTTTTCTATGATTTCAGTCACACTTCTAGGTGGAAAATGTATCTGTTGATGGGTGTTATATATAGGTAAAGAATAGTAAATACTTACAGAACGACAGACATCACACACTACATCTTCATCATATTCTATACCAAACCCTTCTTCTGATTTAATCATATCATTCATACCTTTATGACACTGAAAATAGTACATAATAATATTATTATCAACTAACAATTATTATGTATATTATGTTCCTGATAAATTTCTGGCTTTATGTTTAAAGAAGAAAAGGCAGATAGGCATTGACAATGCATTTGAAATACGCCTAGGGCAGCAATGAGATTACATTTCATAAGTGGCTAATCAAGTAATCATAAGAGTTTACCTGTGTTTCAAGCTCTTCAAATATTCTTTCCATAATCCATTCATGTATCAAAGATAGACCTAGAAAATAACAAAACCACATATATCTGAGGAAATCAGTTTTAAAATAAGGAAGATTTTCAAATCTTTCAATAATTATTGTAATAATTCTATAAATGTTAGACAGCATATTCTTTAAATCACTTTTTCTTTCTGAAGATATCAATTCATCAAACACAGACTTACTCATTTCTTCACGTTCCATATTGATTGTGTCTAACCAGCAAACATCTAGATCATCTAAATCATAGCGTACAACCTGTTCAGATAGCTGATTCATACCAGTAAGTTCATGACAACCTTGTTTATATGTTTCATCTTGGGCTGCATGTAATAACTTTCTCGGTCTAAAACAAATGTGTTTCATTAAAATTTTCCGAACTAAAAAGAGATGTTCAATGTAATCTTAATGAAATACTGTTGTATTTATATTGTAAAAGAGCTTAATGAATTTCATGAATTTAAATATATAGAAAAATACTTACATTTTAAAGTCACCTGTTTTACTTTTCTCTCTTAATTCTCTAAAATATTGAAGACATAATGAATAAAGTATGCATGGACATTTTTTACAATAATAAAAAGTTTAATGATAATGGATGCAATAATTTGTACACAAGACCTTATCAAGTCTAAAGAGTATATTGTAGTTCACAGCACTTAGATAATATGGAGTTATTATTGCAGAACTGATTTAGCAAAAGCCCTTGTCAGCTCCTAATGTTACTTCAATCTTGATGACTGAGTCCCCTATTAGACAAATTTATTCTTATTCAAAACTTGTTTTGAGAAAAAGTTACTTTAGCTGGAACCAGCTCTGAACATCAAACATTTCCTATTTCTATTATTTTCAAAAGAAAAGGTGGCAATATTTTCTCCAAAAATCAAATAGTAACATACTATGTGATTTTACAATTCCATCTGTTAATAATTATGTTAATGCATTGATTTGTTTACAGAATGATAATATAGTATCCATTTACAACCTATATACTGTATAATAAATCATTCACAGATTCTTG